TTAAGGTGACAATGTTGTGTTTCAAAAATAGATTTTAATATTCTAAAATGATATTCATTAATTCGATACATCATCACGACAGGGTGGACATGTTAAGGGTAACCACAGCCAACTTCATTACTGAAAAATGGAACTAACTTGTCATAAGAATTGAATACTATTATCCATTGTTGATAGCCTAAATAAAATAGTTTCTTTTGCAAATACATACCTGTTTATTTGTGTGTTTGATGTGCTCATCTTCCCCACAGCGGAACGTAGCATAAACACACATGAATCCACACTGCGATGTTGTCATGGTCCAAATGCAACTGATCTATACCTTTCGCGATTTCTTCACGAGCACCCAGTAAACAGTTGCCTCTCCATGTGTTAATAGGCGCCTGCAAAAAAAAAAAAAACTACGGTGGCCATCAGGGGCCAGTTACATGTTGGAGGGTGGGGCGCACTGCACCTTGTCTATTCTATGGTTCCGATAAGAAAATAAAATAATCCATATTTCATTTTTATTATTTTTATATGACAACAGGGTTTGCCACGTATTTACTTGAGGTGGCCATGTCAATCCCTTAGATCTGCCCTTGCGTTTCATGAGGAAAAGCTGGGTTAAACGTGAAAAATTGCAGTCTTCATTGCGGAGCTTGATTGATTTTGCGTAAATTTCTACGATTTTAGAAGCGCTATATCCTGGAGGGACATATGTTTTTTGTTTAGTCTGTTTCATGTTATCAATATTATTCTAATCAATATTATTCTACTACCAATTTATCCAACTGCCTAAAACCAGTGTTCGGGGAGATTATAGGGCTGTTGACACTCCAGACCAATAGGTGGCGATATTCACTTTTCATTTATGTTGAATTAAAGGGTTCGTCCGCCTTATCTCTTTACTAGACGGATGGCATCAGTCTGAAGGAAATGAGGAAATGTGACGAGTGAACGAATCGAGTGCAAGTGTACGGTTTCCTTTCCGATCCTAACAAGAAAGATGGTGGGTGTTACTTTGACGAGCCAACATAATCCGAATCCATCGTAGGAAACTAAACCAAATTACGTCAAGTTAAAACAAGCAACATAAATCTTAAACATGTACTTACGCTGTCACTTAAAAATAAACGTAAAATAACTAGCCATTTAATTACAAACTTAACCACAAAACCGTCTCAGAAAACACAAGCCGAACATGTTTCGCCATTGTGCATAATTAGACAAAACACGCAGATAGCTATGTGTATTTATTTTTTATGGAATTCAGGTTTCAGTTTACTTGAATTGTCCTGCTGATTTATAACAGGCGGACCCGGAGCAGAAGAAGAAGCGCACCTTCAGGAAGTTCACCTACAGAGGTGTGGACCTGGACCAGCTGCTGGATATGTCTTAGTAAGACTAACTTTATTATTCATCCTAGGGGCAAATTCTGCAGTACTCTTTCCCCTGTAGTAAATGCGAAATTGCTTTTCACTATACAAATAAGATATTTTACCCTTGTTTGGGGCGTAGATTTTGCACGGGTCCTTTCATTTTGAGTATGAAGTTGTCCTCCAACACCTTTAACGAATTTCCCCAAGATTGACTCCTATGCGAATTGTACCATTGTATTAGTAATTTACTTAAATTGGACAGTAGCACTGTGATATCAATACGCCGATTTAGTACTGTTTACTGTTGTTGGATGCAGTTTTTGAGTAACCGGTTCTAACGTAGTTACACAGCCAAAACGTTAAATGTTTGTGTACTTCGTTATGTCTTTACTGTACTATAAAGTTAAAGTTTTAGAATGTTTAAATGAATAGGTAACAAGGAGTTCTGAAAATTGTACATATAGGACAGCTAGTGTAACATACATAACATACACCATATTGCTGTTTATAAAGACTGAATTTTCCGTTATTTACATATTTAGAATACGAAAATGACAAATGTATATTTTCTGAACTGGATAAATGCAGATTTGGCCATTTCTTAAGAAGTGTATGCAAAAGAGTTTTACTACGGTGACCATCAGGGACTACTTGTATTTTGGGGTGGCCATGCTGCACCTTGTTTGTTCTGTGGTTCTGCTTAGAAAATAAAATAATCCATATTTAGTTTTTATTATTTTGATGTCCGGTGGCAACAGGCACATGAAAAGTATGCATCTGTTGTTGAGGGGAGTGTCTACTACACAAATATTTTACTTTTATTGTACTGTATTCCTCAGACATAATTTCATGTTAGGCCAAGCGTAGAGTAAGTCATTGCCTTTGTTGCAGTAAGATAAATTGGCCTCTTTGAGATAATTATGTTGACAATTGCATTCATCATGGGCTTGGTATAGGTTTTATAGAATTAGTCTACATCGAACGCTGTGTTTTTTGTTTTTTATCTGGATTGCATCTTTTCCCGTATTGCATACTGCTTTGGTCCACGTGACCAGAACTGCATACGGCACAACTTAGGCAGCTCAGTTATCAACTTATTCAGGACCAAGAGAGTGCACACAGGACCACAAACACAGTGCGCAAAGTCAGCACAAATACAGCGAGCATATATGTTTCTGAAATGTTTTAGAAAGTGACATCAGTGTTTATCCCTCATTAAATTGGTAGGGCATCGTGGAAGTGGAAAATTTTGAGGCTGTGTGCAGGCTAACAGGAATGTGAGCACTTTGCTATGTCTACCTACAATAGTTTATACTTCTGCCTACTCCTTTTCAAGCAAGGAAATCGAAAGGTGTGATATTATGATGGAGAATGTGGAAATGTTTTTATTTGTTGTTTTTGAAATAAATTAAATGAAATGAAAATGGGAAAGGGAGACAGTGGGAGTGTGTGTGAGCGGCACGGGACACGTGTGCATAGACTCCTGTTAGTAGCAACCACATGCTTCATTCAAATACAATAGTTCGCGATGGTCACTCAGTTTTTCAAACATTTAGATATCCAACTGGATTTTGGGATGCTGTTTATCAAAGTCCCCCCCATGTAACTGTCCCCTGCCATCTGTGACCCTGTGTGCAATATATGAATAGCTGTAGTTTCAAAGCGTTATGTGTCATGAACAGGACTCACAGCGTTTATACTAAGGCATATTCATTGACATTCGCCTTTCCAGTTGATCCACCCACCACTACTTGTATAAATTGTAGAAGTTGCAGGGTGTGTGAGGAGTACGGATTATATGGGGGGACAGCATGTTCTTTGCTTCATCTGGCATCTGCATTATTTTTGTAGATTTGAGTGGATGACTTTTGAGCTGTACAGACATTTATTCAGAGTTGTCCAACTTAGTGAACAACTTACTTAGTGTATTTGGATTATCTGTGCCTTTTTTTTTTTTTAGTTAGTTTCACTGTAAATTAGAACAAAGCTGTGGTTTAGTTTTTTTGGTTTAGTTTTTTTCCACATGCTGCTGCAGTGTCAGTGCTGGTGTGTTTCACAATGTATACATGTATAGTATTGATATTTGTAAGAGGTGCACCAATCCGATATTCAGATTGGTATCGGCACTGATCCAGAGCTATTAGATGGATAGGGTATCTGCCAAATGTGACCGATCCACATCTGATGCTTGTTTATTTAGTTTTCAGCAGTTTTTAAAAAGAGAGCTCCTATTTCTTGTTAAATCATATAATTAGTCCCACAGCAGCTCTTTCCCATTATATATGTGTTTTTTGCAGCATTCAAGCTGAACGGTAACGCTGCTTCTCAGTTTTTTTTGCCACTCGGTGGGTGTGAGCGCAGTGACTTCCACCTGCTGTGATGTCATGCACAAACCCTTTGCAGTACGAGGAGCATAAGAACATCACATAAGAGGGTGACAATCTGGAAATATTTTACACTTTTAAGAACTAGTAGCACAGCATTTTGCAAAAGAAAGTTTTGAGAGGTGGAAGCAGTGTTTAATGGAAAGTCCTGCTAAAAGTGCATGGAATTGTCCAAGATAATGCGAGTAATATGAAAAAAGCAATGGATGATTTGGGAATAGCTTGTGACGCATGAGGGGCTACTATCACTGTTGCAAGTGGAAGAAAAATTGTGGGGCATTTGAAGCATTTGTCACTTGCATATACTCTCTTAGAAGATATTCAGATTGAACTGCACATGCCTCAAACACTTAAAACAAGATGTACAAACGATGTGGAACAGTACATTATGTATGTTTCTAGTAGCCTAATTAAAGCTTTTTTGGCATTTTTATTTAGTAGTGTTAAAAATAAAAGTGTAAATTTATATTATGTACATTTATTATATTAAAATATTAAAGTAAAAAGAGTTCTTGCATTGTAATCTGTATCGGTGTCGACAGTTGTGAAATCGGATCGGAACAGAAAAAATGTGGATCGACCCATCCCTAGTATCGGTCACACGATGGTAACTTTTACCTGATGTCCAGTGTCTCTTCTCCGTTCCCTCTACTGTAGTGAGCAGCTCATGCAGCTGTATTGCGCCCGTCAACGCCGGCGGCTGAACCGCGGCCTGCGTCGCAAGCAACAGTCGCTCTTGAAGCGCTTGCGGAAGGCCAAGAAGGATGCTCCTCCCATGGAGAAACCTGAGGTTGTGAAGACCCATCTGAGAGACATGGTCATCCTGCCTGAGATGGTGGGCTCCATGGTTGGCGTGTACAACGGCAAGACCTTCAACCAGGTGGAAATTAAGGTGAGGATGAGAGAGATTGTGAGCTGTGTTTGTGTGGGTACTCTGCTCTGTTATCTTAATGGTTATGTTCCCTTGCAGCCCGAAATGATTGGACACTACCTCGGAGAGTTCTCCATCACCTACAAACCTGTCAAACATGGACGTCCTGGTATTGGAGCAACACATTCTTCCCGCTTCATCCCTCTTAAGTAGAGATGTTTTGGCTTCTTGGTGTAAATAAAATTAATTGAAACTTAAATTTCCTTCTCTTTACTATTTTGATTACACATGCAAGTACTATTATCTGATCTGAATGCAGCAATATGTAACCTAAAGCCAGCAGATATATTATTTTTTGGAAAAAACAGTTGGGTGTGCGTGATTGGCTGCTATGAAACCTAGGAAGTGTGATGCTCCACTCAGGGTCACTTACAGTGTGCACATGTCCCAGCACCAGCCTAAGACTCCTATTCAGTTGTGGCCATGGGCTTGTGATTTTAGGAAGTGTGCATTTCAGGAGGTTAGATCATTGGTTCAAATCGCAGGGCTGGCAGAGTGATTTCACCCCTAATCCCCAATCGCAACAGGTACCCTGCTTTCTCAAAGACAGAAAAACATGCATAGCTTTGGATAAAATATATTTTCTACAAAATGAATAAAATGTAATTGTGGTTCCCATCCTAGAAGTGAGTTACCTTCCAGGATGAGAACCACAGGACACAGGTGAAAGCAGTCTTGAGGGGAGACTAAACCATTTCAGGGCACATAAACACTGAGCAATTTACAGATGCTAGTTGGTCTATATCTGGAGTATCTAAAGAAAAGCCAGGCACAAGAACAACCAGGTAAACTCCAGACAGAACAAGAGTGGAATTAAAACCTTTAACCCCAGATATGTGACTACAATTCTACCCACAGTTATATCATAATTTTCAATTTACCTTTTAGCACCTTTGAATCTTTATTGTACAATTAGATCATTTGACCTTTATAATGCTTTATTTTTGTATTGACTAGTAAAATCGACACATTCTGACCAATTATACTTTGTGTATTGGTAGTTAACATGCTACCTAAATGATAATTATGTGAACAATTTAATAAAGTATATCATATATGCTATCTTACTGAACAATTGAAACTAGCAACTTAAGTCAAATATTACGTGTGCACTCGGCACCTCTCCAGGCTATTGTGCTGCGTGGCTGGCTAGCTGCTCAACGCTCTTATGGTACTGGCGCTGTCCCTCGCTCACACTGCAGTGTGCAATTAGCGGTCATTCACAACAGGCATAATAGCCAAGTAGGCAGACTATGTAACAGAGAATCGCTCCCCTAAATTTGCTGCATTTTGGTGGGGGGGGAAATGTTGCCAGGTTAGTCTGAAAAGTTGGTAAATCCAGCAACAAAAAATTGGTAGCACCAGCCTTCCCAATTCGCTCGCAGTGGACGCGCGAGAACGCCTTTCCCATAATACTTTTCGGTTATGACGGCAAATTCTTTCCCGTGCTGATTTTCCGGTTCCGCCTTTTGTTGTATTTTGTAAGGCGAGGGGGCTGCTCATGCTCGTGCTTTGCTGCGTTTCAGGTTTGTAAAACACCGTAAATTGGCGTATCAATGCATTATTAGTTTCATTTACATACGTTTACGTTCGGTCGAGTTAAAAGTTAAGAAATTCTAAGTGGATTAAATAACTACCTTTTTAAATCTACTTTCCTACCTCGGGGATATTGCTAAATCTATACACCTTAACCTTGCTGAAGTGAAAACAGTTTGAGATGGTTGATTGAAAAAATACGGCCAACTGGATGCCGTATGCCGCCCGTTTCACTCTTTTACCCGGTCCTCTCGCGATGCACAAATGTTAAACGTATGTTTTGTAAATTAATTAAATAAAAACACTTTAAAGTGAATACTAGTAGTAGTACGTTGTGCTACATGACGCCTATATATATGCCGTATTAACTTAACACAAGCTTAGTAACAACTTCTAAATTGTTCATCCAAAGTTTACCCATTTCACTACATTGCTTGTATTTGTTGCAATATATCTGGCCTCTTCTGTGAGTTTGTTTATAAATATTTATACAAACGAAAAAGACGAAGAACATTCGTAAATTTATACCAAAACTTTGGGGGAAAAACTTATCCTGAAAATGTACACACATTCAAGAATGGTCTAGATCTGCTCACGAACGTTTCGTGGGAAACAGACAAAAAACAACAGGGAGTTCAAATAGGAATGTGCTTTTAAGTGGCATTTAGTTTTAGCGCTTCGTAAAATGTGCGTTCATAAATAGAAACATTTTGTACTATATCTGATAACATTTTGTTTTCGCTTCTACTAGTGAATCAACATATTGTAAATGAAAGACTTATATGTACCAAAATATTTATTGTGTTATTTGTTACAGGTGTGCATACTGAAAAATCAAAGTAGACACCAACACGAGCAGCCTCATGTATGTATAAAATGCCCCGTGAGTAAGTATATTACATGCGGCATAATGGCATATTTAGCTTTGCTAGAGGACATTGCGCGTAGCCAAATACGACGGGAGCGAGTATTTAGAGATCGCAATGATTTTTTTTCCAATGATGATTCGTGGCTTATCAGTCATTTTAGACTGCCAAGAACAATTCTCATGGAATTGTGCAATGAATTGGCCCCGACTCTTGAACGGCCTACATCACGGAATCATGCTGTTCCTGTCCAACTCCAAGTACTGACAACACTTGGATTTTTGGCAACAGGAACATACCAACGCGAACTGGCTGACAGATCAGGGATATCCCAGCCTACAATGAGTTCCTTTATTCCTCAAGTAGTGGCTGGCATTAACCGACTGTCAAGACAGCATATTAAGTTTCCATGTGGAGCCGATGTACAGGCAAACATCAAAACGCAATTTGCAGCAGTGTCCAGGTTTCCTAATGTCATCGGTGCTATTGACTGCACACACATTGCTATAAAAGCGCCATCAGAGAATGAAGCTACTTTTCTGAACAAAACACAGTTTCATTCCATCAATGTGCAACTAATCTGTGATGCCAACATGGTTTTAACAAATGTTGTTGCACGTTGGCCTGGATCTACACATGATGCTGTTATATTACAAAAGAGCAGTGTAGGACGTAATCTCGAGGCTGGGGTACTTCAAGATGGTTGGCTGATTGGTAAGTTGAATGAACACATATATACACCATATGAAATGTATGGCAGAGTTTTTGTATATATGTTTTCCTTTGACCAATATGTCCATGTGCCACTCACAGGAGATAGTGCTTACCCACTTAAGCCCTGGCTGTTAACCCCATTCCACCATCCATGCAGTGAAGAGGAACACCGGTTTAATGAGGCACACGGAGTGGCACATAAAGTGATAGCGCGCACCATAAGTTGTATGAAAAAAAGGTGGCGGTGTTTGGACAGGTCGGGTGGCGTTCTAATATACCACCCGACAAAGGTGTGCAATATTGTAATAGCTTGTTGTGTCCTACACAACTTGGCCCAACGACACAACCTGCCTCTTCCTGAACCACTAAACATCGAAGTGGATGATATCGCTGTTGAGCCCCTGCCGGAACCAGCTGACCCCTCTGCTGTGAGACTGAGGGAGGATGTTTGCAAGAGAATGTAAAACTCACCCAGGTATATTTTTTAACGATTCTTTTAATACAGCTTCAGTATTGTATCCATTCAATTTATACAGATGTGTGCTGTGCTCATTACAAAAAGTTAGGATGTGAATAATATAGTACATTTTCAGCTCAAATTCAAAACAACTATATATTTTTGCCAAGTTGACAATACTTCAGTGTACACCCCTAAACATGTATAATAGTGAACCCACACCAGCGATCCACGGTGCACCCCAGGCTGTGTCCTGTGCAGTCCTGCCAAATCCCCCACAGTGTTGATTAGATTACGTACTTAGAAGATCAATGAGAATTAACCAAGATTGGAACTGAAGACATATTTAGACTCAAACAACAAACAGAAAAGCAAGTAGCCATTAATTTTTTACAAACGTAATACTGTATCATGATTCCCCTGTAACGTGAATTGTTTTTTATCTCCCCCAACCACAAGGACACCTAGCCCATCCTTTCTCTGTTCTTCCTATATCCCCGTCTTCCTGACCTGTCTACCCCCTATAATGTGATGTTTGTATATGTATGGTCACTTTGATGGCCAGTTTTTCGCTGGTACTTGTGATTAGTGACATGGTGTATTGCAACAGCAATAAAGGGTTTCATCATCATAATGTATGTATGCATTAAGTCATAGTGATACTGAAATATGTCAAGAATTATATGAAATCAGTGCAATGTAAACATTTTGTTGGTGATATCAAACCTTTGAAAACCTTTTCATGTTGCAAACATGGGTCCTTGAATCCCGTTTTGGGAAGAAAAGTATGTGAACCAAGTAGGGTGAGAAGTGTTTGATAATGGCTGTTATGTGTTCTGTGCCCATAGGATGGCTGCTGGGCATGCAGATAGGGCTTCCCTGTTCTAGGGGATGCTGAAATCTCCACCCCTCATTGACTCGCATTGCTGTGTGACTTTGGTCACAGTTCAAGGTATGGCAGCTGTGGTCTTCATGTGTTGTACAAGGCAATATGTAGCATTCTTCACAATTTTGTCCTGTTGCACATCTATTGCGGGTGTGGATGGGCGGACGTGTTAAATCGTGATGCCATGGTTCACTTCCCGGTGGTACCCAAACACCACAACCCGTATTATCCGTAAGGTTGGGTGTGGGTCTGTCTATACAGAAGCTGGATGCTTTGATACCCAAAGGCAAATGGAACTCACGGATATTGGATATGATGACATAAGAGGCTGGTGCTGGTATGAGTGAATGTGTGTGTGATGATTTTCAGGGAATAGAATTTTAGTTAGATTTTTATTAAGTGTTTATCATGCTAATTGTGAAATGTATAATATGGTTGTGGGGTGGGGGTAGGGATAGGGGTGTGAGTGCTGGTATGTTGTTACAAAAGCCGGTGGCTAGTTGGTGCTGAAAATACACATTGGTGTTGATCTTGGAGTGCATCTGAGGCCTGTCTCTGCTTCTGGGGGCCTGTGCACGACCTGGCCGGTGATTAGAGCCCCAAGACGCCACTTCCCCGGCCTGCGCACCCATGTCTCGACCAGCAGTGCCCTAAGGGCACATTGCTGGAGTCTGATCCTGCTGTCCGAGAGCTTCCACCTGCTGCAGAATGACCCTGCATGGCTCTGCTACATTCGACGCTGTGCTAAGGCTGGATTCCTTGGTGTTTCTGGGAAGTCATTTTGGCTTTATTTTGCCCCCTACAGGCGGATTGTGCCCATGCAGGAGGAGACCACATGGGTCAGTGGCAACTTGACAATAAACAGCGATAAAATTGCATTTCAGAAGTTTTCTTCAAGACATCTGGCGTTCAGAAACGGTTTAATAATTAGCAATGACTTGTGTAATTGCACTTTTACAAAAGAAAGTATCAGCCTCAAGCTGTTCGTCAGCAGGCTCCGTATGGTTCACTAGGGTTGCACTCTGTGCTCGTAATCAAAGCCCTTAACCCCATTCGCTCCAGGGACACTGTCTGGCCCTGCTATCTGATCCGCACTTGTGTACGGCTTTTATTTAGTCTCTGCTAAATACATGTAGGTGTTGCTGATTGTTCTTAACATAAAATGCATGCTGAATTAACTTAAAATGTGCCACTGGTACATTGTTGATGGAAATGTTATGTCTGGCTTAAAAGCAACCAGCCATTAATGCTGACATGGATGTAATATCACGTTTTAAAATGAATGGCAATTGCCTTTATGAGACTAAAACTAACACTCAAGTTAATTTAGATGAGGATTTGGTCATTGCAGATATTCACCTCAGAAATTAAATTGTGCTTGATTTTAATTTTTTAACAAATATGAGGAAAATGAATGCTGCTTGGTAGTATGTGAAGATACCAGAGTGGCCTGAAAAGAAAGCTGGAAATTATCAAAAACACATCACATCTCAGGGATATTCCAGAAAGCGGGTTTAGCATCCCACTTTCTTTCCGATGGCGAGTACCTTTGCCTGCAAAGTATTTCTCATCCCATTCCATAATGTATTCAATGGCATAATGTACCTGTGGGATCAGTAAAGTTTCATATGATTTGATTAAAGTTTGTTTGTTGTACACCTGAGTTCAGCCTCATTTCAAACATCTCACACCATGGATTTGCATTGATATCCTTACAAATTTAATTTAATTTCTTTCTACTGGAAGCTGCTTGTATAATATAGGACAGGGTTCCCCAATTCTGGCGCTAGTGGGCCGCTAGTGGGCCAGAAACCAACACAGTTTGCAGATTTCCCTGCTCACACACATCTTAATCAGCTAATTACCAGGTTTAGTAGGTGTGTCTGAGCGGGGATATCTGTAAACTGGCATTCCAGGACCAGAATTGGAGAGCCCTGATGTAGGAGATTAATGGCATGCGAATGTGTGCTCTGCAATGGGTTGGCGCCCCATCCTGGGTGGTTCTCTGCCTTGTGCCTGTAGCCTCTGGCATTGGCTCCCCGTGACTGAATGTCCCCAGACATAAATCTTTGAGAATAAAGGAGTGATCCACTAAATTACAGGTGTGCCATGTATTACAGTAATGCTGGGGGCTAGTACATGGAGGGTAATAAGACAAAAAAACTGCAAGCAAGATATCCAGGCTGTGCCCACCACTCAAGGATTTATAGGGAATGTACATAGTGTGACAAATTTGCATAGGCAAATAGGTTAATAAATAATAAATAAGTAAAATCTCTTCGTAGCTTTAATTGAGAGTCCCATCCTGTTGAACCATACATTGACCCATAGAAGAATCATTAATCTTTTGACAACTGCAAAATTCACTTTTAAAGCAGTTCTAAACTAGTTTTACTTTTTAAAAGATTAATATGCTCCACCTGGAGATGATGGATTCATATTCAGCATATGCAGACGGTAATATTTCCATTTCCAACTGCGTAAAACACGGAGGGAGCTGTACACTTTTTGGTGTGCTGATGGTGGCTTCTTGTTATTCTGCGAGACTGCGCTTCAGTTAGCAACAGCATTCCCAGGCTGTGTCCCACTTCAGAGGCTGCACCCTTCTAAGGTTCCATTTGAAGACCAAATGCATCACAGTGGCATGACAAGGCTGTCCTGTTTCGAAAGCTCCTTCAAATGTGGCCTAGAAATGTGTCCTCCTTTTCCTGAACCGCGAAGGATGCGCTAGATGGATTCTTCATGGCCGAATCTATCTCAGGTTTGATTGCAGAAAGTGGGTGCTAGGCGATAGGAGCGGTGCTTTCAGGGTAATGGTGGGAAAAGCTGGTGATGCAAACAGGAAATTTTCTGTAAGCCAGACCGTCCCATTTCATGTTTTCGGATCGACCTTCGAAGGACACAGCCTACAAAGGCTATGCCAACCATATCCTTCGAAGGATGCAGCCCCTGAACTGGGACACAGCTTTAGACTTGAGTAAACTCAATCCCCGAAGTAGTAATCACAAACTGAATCATTATGCTTACGTTACTTTCGGCTCATTCAAGTGAGAGTTAAGGTATAAACCCTAACTAGCTTGGAATAACCCCCAGGTCACTCAATCTATATGTTTAAGAATGATTTTCTTTGTTAAGTCCACTAGATGGCAGAGCTTGTCTTCTGGCCCGAAAGTCTTCGGTATTTAAAAATCTGAGAGATGGCCAAGTCCATTTTCAGCTTGTGGAGGCAAGTTGTCTGACTCCTATGTTGTGCTCTCACTGCTTCCATGAAAATGTTTTATTAATTGACTTATGAAACTTATCAGTTGCTTTCCTGTGAGGTACTCTGGTGCCACCTGCTCCTCAGCCATCATGTTCAGAACTGTAACTGGATTGTAATCATTGTGTTTGACACCAAAGACATCCAGGGCTGGAACCTGTGGGGAGGCTAGCATCGCAGTGTAGCGCTCTGCTCCACAATCATTAGGCAAAGTAGATGCTATACAGTCTCGTGAACAAAAAAAATAAACAAGACATTAAAGTACAATTTGAGGGAATAAACACTAAACAAAAATGAGCACCCATTATGTGTTTCTGAGAGAGAGAGGAGAGATGGAAGGAGCACAAACAAATGACAGGGTTTCTTAAAATATTCAGTTGGCAATGCAGACTAAAATGAAGTTAAAAAACAAACATGTATTAAGTAACATTTATCATTATGGAAATACAAGTTAAGTGCTACTGCTTGCATATTGTATGTCTATAATCTCCATTTGAGGGGGTATTTCGCAAAGCAGGATTCCCCAGTTATCCAGCTAATTTGAGCCAAATATGGAAACTGTCCAATAGGAGGGGAGGCAAGTGGCATTCCTATTGAAAAATCCTTACATTTAGCTTAATCTTGCTAATGAAAAAAATTCCTGCTTGGTGGAATATACCCTAGCTCTTCATACCTCCACCTGCTACAGTCCATCCCGTCTAGTCCAGTACTAAATAATCCCTGCGTGTCTATTTCCCAGTTCCACTAGCTTCGCAACTCACTGCATCTGCACAAAACTCAGGCCTGCTCCTTTCTTTGATGTGCAACAGTTTATTTCAGAAAGGGGGGGCGCAGTGTTCCACAAAGCAAGATTTGCTTTGCTAGCTAACTTGTCAGATTTAAGGTAGTCTGGGCTAAATTTAACAATTTTTGTTCACTTACATTTAGCTCAGACTACCCAAGTCTGACATCTGGCCAAGCAAGGAATCTTGCTTTGTGGAACAGCCCCCCCCCCCCCAAGGGTACTGCACAAAGCAATTTCCCAGTTTAGTTGGATAAGAACCAAATATGAAAACTGTCCAATGAGTTTTATTCCCATTGGACAATCGTTACCTTTGGCTTAAGTTATCTAGCTGATAATACCCTTTGTAGAATAGCCCCCAGTCATGTTCCAAATTTAAGGACCCATTAATCCCAATCCCCCTTACAGCAGCCCTTGGAGCAGTGCCAATGGTAAATGACATGAATTCACATTTTACAGTGATGTAACCCTCTAAAGACTGCTGTAATGGGGGGGGGGGGAGATAAAAAAATGGGCTGTTACGTGGGTTTCCGACCTGCCACAGAAAGGATGGACTGACACACTCAAGCTGCTAGAATTAGTGTATGGTTCTTACATTGGAATTATAGTAAATCTATTTTAGAGCTTGGAATAATCATGGTGATCAAGTAAAGCAGTTTTGTCCCATCTGAAAGGCTTTGATGGCCACAAGTAACTCAGCAAAAAGATCCATGCATTTTGCAAGCTCTACAACTCCACAGCCCATTACACAAGTTAAGCCAGAGTCAGATCTTTAATGTTCAGTCAAGCCACCGACATCACATCTAAAAGCTGCATTCAGTGCCACTTAAGCAGGGAAGGCTAGATGAACCAGCAACAGCATTCCTGTTCTGCTCCAGTCTGCATCAAGTTTTCCTTCGATGCTACTTCTAGTCAAGTCCATCGGGAGAGACGTTTGATTTAACGAGCCACAGATGCTTCTACAGTTGTGATGGAAGCCGAAGTAGTTGAAACCGATCCATTCAAGGCAATCCGCTGCTTTTCATAATCCCAGCAGGTTTGTCGGTTTAACAGATGTGTAGATACCCCACCTAGGGAGGGGAGGATAGCTACAGGGCCCACGGTTGTGGCCTTATGCCACTCTGAAAGCAGAGAAATGCATCAGAACCACACTACCTCTTCAGGAGGACCCAGGTCATTTCAACTTACCGGCCATGTTGCTTTTTGCAGTTTGCCTCTTCCACAAACCACCATTAGACATAGGGGTCTTGGGCTGGTCATAGTAATCACCCTGGGATTCCATGTATAGCTGACAGGTGTTGCACACCCCATCATTTCCATCTGCAGACTTCCAGCTTGGAAATAGTACCAGAGACTGGAAGCCTTAATATGCAAGATTCATTACATTTTTCCTGTTAAGGCTCAGCACACTGGGAGCTTACCTGTCCTCAATGAAGGAACATGCCTTATTGGTCAAGTCCATATTTGTTACAGGGACAGCCTTCAAGTGGCATGTAATATACAGCTGTAGAGGGGGGAAAAAAAAAAAAAGTCAGTGCTCCAGAAATAAGTAAAATTTGGAAGGAAAAAAAAAGCTTTACCGAAGGGCTAGCTTGCTGGCTGAACCTGAAAGCTTCCAACTGGAATCGAAGCTTGTGGTCCTCTGATCGGGGCTGGAAGAGGGAGCAGGAACCTGTCCGCTTGGCATCAGTCAGACACCTAGGTGGATTCACAGATGGAGTGCAAAAACAGGACCATGCAAGACCCAGGGGGGGTTACACTAGGCTTTAAATACATAGTGCATTATGCCTGTAAATACCATAGTATACAAGGTGGCGTAATTGTGGCATTAGACTTCACTGAAAGGTAGCAACTTCCTTTTAACATTGCAGGGTTCACACACGCACACACACACACACACACACCAAAGACAGCCTGTTACATTTCAGTTGAGGAAAGTTAACCTAGAAAGTTTAAAAAAAAAAAAAATGCACATGATTTTCAGATTGAATGTGCCCCATGTGCAATCCTCACCCATAGTTCTCAATGAATGAATACTGGGGATGAGTGGTCCAGTCAGGGACCAAGGTGGCTATGCAGTAGTCCACAAACACACGGAGGGACATGAGGCCGGCCCGAACAGAGGCCTCGAAGTACATTATTTCCCCAGGGAAATAAATAGAGGACCTTTGAGCAAGCCAGTCACCTAGAAAGGATGGTTAAATTTAGTTACAAATTTAAAGGTTCTGCCAAAGCAGCACCCTGTGTCAGGGGTTGAACAACAGAGTTCTAAAGAGTGCCCTACTAGACATGAGCATCAAGGAGAAGTCAAGGATCTCTTCAGCAGAGCTGGTACCAATGAAGGGAACCCAAGTTGGCTGCAGATCATTGCTTATGTTGTACCTCCTGTTATGACACAGCACAGAGGACTGTCAGATCCAGAAGTTGTAAATTGGAAACTACTGCAGAAAACCACTCACCTTCCATAGTGACACTCAATAGGAACAACTACTCCTTCCAGTCGAATAACGCCATCAAAAGGCACAGGGGAATATATAAGGTTGTTGGTGTAAATCAAGGCATCTGGCGTGAACTGAAACAGAGGCAGAATTAGAGCTAAAAAGGACATTCAAAACGGCACATCAACAGAATAAGTGTTTGTATAATGAGTTCTGCTTCAGCTCTTGCAGGAACTTACCCACAGCTTTGTGCCACATTCCTTCAATTCAGCATGGATTGTGAATTCTGACTCCCCAGAAGCTATAGCAAAGCAAGAGCTTGGTGAAATGGCATCCAATCCTAGCCGCAGATCGGAGCCATTTATGAGGGTGCCCGTGGAATACAAGTCTGCGTTAACGATCACTTCTATTGTTGCTGCATGGCACTTCACAGTTACAGGGTTTTGTCTGGGAACAGAGTCAGCAAAGCCAACACCCTTCTGGAGCACTTGTTGGGGAAGCGATATGGAATAAAGCTTTCCAGCACCCATATCGGGACCATTTGGCTTCTGAGGAGCAACTATTGTATACATGTCACTGATAACAGCAGCTGGTCCAACTAATGGTGGGGGAGAAGGATAGAGCTCACCAACAGCGATACCCGGGTTGATTTGGGGAGGATGGATTAGGGCGGTTTCAGGTAGTGTTAGCTGGCCTGTCGGATTCAGAAGCTGCTTACGAATTGTAGGGAAACCATCATATGTCAATACAGCAGGAAAAGAGTCTACTAGTATGGAACAATAGAACAAACTAATGAGCACCATTACCAATCTTTCAGTAAACCCCATTCTGGTATGTAGTATTCAGCTACAGTACTGGGAAAGGTCTCACTGAAAAGCAGCGGCATTACTCAATTAAATCAAACTGTCTGTTTATATATACGAGATTTGGCGCGCGTCTATTAAATGAAATTATAACAACAGATTTCAATTTACGTCCCGATTAATTTCGTCTAATAGGTAATTCAGCGCAGCTTGCACATTAAGGTTTCCCGTATCTTTTCCACTCGGTGTAGGAGATAGGAGACCTGCCCTTTAACACACGCCATCATTTTCATAGACTGAACCACAGCGCTCGGTTTCATTCCCGTAGAAATAGGTTTTCAATTAGGTGTCCACGGAGACAAAACGTCAAAACAAAATGGACAAAACGTCGATATTAGTATCCGATTTATGAAATGCTAAAAATATAATAATGCCCCACCTCCCAGTTGTTAGAAACGAAAAACATCCAAGGGGTAGCCACAAATCTCCCAGCTCCGTCTTTCGTGGTTTCTTATGGGTTGCGGTGCTTACGAATTGTAAGCTCCGCGGTTTGAAAAGATTCTGTTTTGGTGACTGATAAACAGATCGTCATGGTGTTTGATTTAATCCCCCATTGTAAATTAATAAAATGTTGTGCTTTGTATTCTTCTTTTTAAATCAAAGTCTACTTTATCAATACAAAAATCTCAATTACACTGCAAACAAATTACTTTTACTTGTTGTAAAGTCAACAACCACCATTTAACAAAAAAAAAAATGAAAGGCTAAATATTGCGTGTGAAAATGTAAGGAAAACCGACATCTGTTGCACTTATGTCGACCATAACAATTGTATTGTTCACAAAATTACCTGATAAATTTGATGTGAATAAAAATAATATGTTTCTATGAAATTATCAAAGTAAGTTAAAACGAGACATTTAACTACATATAAAACAGAGAAAAAGACGGAAAAGTGTAAGCTATTGTACGTTGTCTCCGCAGAATGGTTCAATAGTAAATCAGATTATGACCAAAGCAGCCACTGAAGTACTTTAAAAAGTAAACAATGTCACTTACACAAATATAATGTCAGTTTCCTCTGTATCTACAGGACTATCCATTGTTGTGTGTTGGAATGCATCAATCACCACATCCACATAGGTCTGTACATGGCAGTTGATATTTTCGGCAGCCACATGACTTTTTTGTACAATATGTGTTACAGTTGCATTTCCTAAGCTCAAATAGACCTTCTGGAGCTGGTGCCTTAAGGCAGAAAACTGGCTTGAGTTTGTCTTCAACTGATTCCCAGCAGTAGCTTGAGGGTGGTGGAAGTTGAGGACAGGGTTTCTGTGAGGACTTCCAGACTAGTGCCATGCAGTAGCTCTTGATGTGTGTGGCATTAATGACCCCAGAGTTGGGGGTAGGTGTACCTTCTTTTCCTTTTTGAGCAAATACTGTCCATAGTAATTCTCAAATAGGACATGCACTGGCATCACTTGTTTTGTAGAGCAAACACACATAGCACTCCATTTGGTTATGTATCCACTCTGGTATTTCATGTGTGAGTCCGAAGTTGGCAAATGCATCCAGAATGTCATTATCTGCTTCCATGAAAGCCTGGAAATGGCTCAACATGCCTTTGCTTGCAAATGACCCAATGTTGTCTGTTCCTTTAAAGGTGTACCACCTTATCAATGCATCAGCATGCTTCCTAGATAGTTTTATGTAGTTCTCTTGAATGGAGATTCTTTCACTCTTTTTTTTAATGAAAACAGTTGACTTGGGAAGCTGAAGGAAGTTACCAAGTAACAGCACAAAGACATCAGTATCTACAGAGTAGACATCAAGGATGGATTCTGGGTTCTTATGCATCACATCACATACATTCAGGAGTACAAGCTGGTCTCCTTCTTCAAGGTTATGGTAACCATCTCTGGCATACTGGTGACTTCTGTTGACATTGGTTGATGCATGACAAGAAGTCTTTGGGACTTGCCCTGGTAATGTTTTAGAAGCTGTTCAGAAAGGTATTTGGTCAGCTCTGTCTTGGTGTTGATATGAGAGAGGAATGACTTCAAATTCTTGATTTGAATGTCATCATTATCATGGTAGTGAATTTGTGTTGTACCCTTTGTCCGCCTGTCTCTTGTAGCTTATTTCAGAGAACAAGTCATGTACTGGTCAAAAACAATCTGAACTTCTTGATAAGATTTACTCATCGCTGCTACAATGTCAACAAACTTCTTGGCAAACTGCATCACACTGGACATGTTTGGGGTTTTAGGCACCATATTAACAATGCACATTGCATCAATGATAAGCACTGATGGACCTTCAACATCTGAACTATGCATTACTGTGTTTTCTGGCAGGGTCATGTTCATAACCAATAGGGTGTCACTTAAAAATAAAAGTCTGAAATACACATCTCTCACCACCTAGATCTATTCTGTTGGTGATAAAATGAACCTGGAAGATAATTCACTTAAAAATATTAACATTTACAGGTAGCCCAAGGCCTCTGAATGTTAGCATTGTAAGCTTAATTACGCCTCATGATGACCATGCTTTCACAGGTACCTATCTCGCTAACTCGGTAACCACACCAATCTCTTACTTATTTATGGAACAAATTTGGAGGGTGAGAGTAAAGAATTTATGATTTTTTTTCTCATAGTACTTAAGTGACACCCTAATAACCAAGGACACCAGTTGTGACTTTCCAGAGAGCATTAACATCGATCCATCGTGGTTGAAATTTGAAGGTGGAGCAACACTAAATTCATAGTGTCCAATCACACCCTGCACTGCATATGGATATATTTAGACATCTTCATTGCACACCACTTACAAATATTTTAAAGTAATTGTAATGCAAGTAATAAAGTCAATGTGGCATTTAGTGAAATATATGTCAGTATTGCAGCATGGAAATGGACTAATTAATTACTGTATTGACTCCCAAAAACAGGACCCAAAAAATGTTATATCTGACCATAGTTTTCTGACAGATACATTAGAAATGTAATCTGCATTGTGAATGTCTTCAAATGTCCAGAAATACCAATTTCCCATATGTCGTTTCAGGGCTTTTTTTATGCGCAAAGTTCTCAAGCTTAATTAACTATGAAACAGCAGTCTACAAACATTACAACCTAATTTATCAAAAAATAAGTGAATGGTAACACTAAGGTGTTCAGTACAGGGGCAGTTCTAGCAATTTAGAAGATAAGGGACTAAGTCAAGTTTACTTGGGGCTTGATTTTTTTTAAAAGGGAGACTGGAATCGGGGCTAAAATACTTGGGGCTACAGCCTCGAGTGATCAAGCCTAACGACGCCCATGGTTCAGTAGTTTAATATCGATGTCTAATGACAGCACGGTGTTTAAGTTAAAGGATGGTGGGATAAGGCGAATTTTATCAGAATATTTTTTTATGTATTTAAATGCTTTTAATTTAAACGTCGTAATTTTCCTAAAGAGATTTTTGTACTTAGAAGTAAAGACATGCACTTTTGATTGGCACTGGATGGAAGGATGGCCAGAAACCATTAGGTGTCACTCTTTCCCTATCCTGGGTCCTGTGCTAAGGGGACGTGGGCTTGTATTTCATCCAATAAAAATGAAAAACGGTATGGTGGCACGTCCCCGTGACCATGTTCTCTGATAGGCTGTTGAAAAATAACAAAATAAATCACTGGTTTATATTTTATATTTTGCATTTAATTACATAATTTGTCCAATTAAGCCCTACCCATTGCTGATGCAGCCTTATATACGCATGCAATCTCTCTCAACAAACACTGGCAGTAGAACAGGTTGTACTGGTGAACTCTGTGACTTTGCACTGTCATCAGTGGATGCGATGCCACCTTTCCAACAAGATACATTCAAATTTCTGCCCCATTAGAAATATTGTGTAAGTGAGATGAGTTTGCTATGCAATTAGCACTCTAACAGATGAGTTTCGATTTGGCACACACCAGGAGAATGTTACTTGCCTGAATGTATCCTGGCAGCTGTAAAATTTGGTTGAGAACCAATAATGGTTTGGGGCGGTGTTTCTTTAAGGGTTGGGCAAGGACCTCTAGGGCAAACATTAACTGTATGGCATACAATCATATTTTAGACAACTGAGTGATTCCTATTTTGTGGCAGCATCTTGGGGCAGGTCCGTTCCTCAGCACAATAATGCCATTCAGGTATGACTGGCTGAGATGAGAGTGGAAGAACTTGGCTGGCTTGCACAGAGATGACCTCAGCGCAACTGATCAGCTAAGGGATGAACTGTAACACTAACTGCAAGTCAGGCCTAATCACACAACGTTAATCCCCAACCTCAGTGGTGATCTTGTGGCTGAATGGCAGCAAATTCCACCAGTAATCTTCCAGTGGAAAGCCTTCCCGGAGAGTAGAGGTTGTTACGACAGCAAAGTGAAAACCAGTTTCATATCAATACCCTTAGCGTTAGAATGAGATCTTATAGAGGGACATGTCTGGATACTTCTGGCTGTATAGTGTAGCATTCAAAGAATAATGAATCTGATTGCGCAACAAATGCGCTATTGTTATCCATCGCTTATAATCCTATTATTTTTAGTGTGATTGTGAAGCAAACACTATGTTATCTGTCACTTTTAATCTTATTCTTCTTCAGCCTGATTTTGGCACACTTCTACAGTTATCGATATATCAACCCTAAACCAGCTTCCACTGATCAGTCGTATACCCTACAGGTGTGATGGACTCAGCTGTTGGGTATGCCCAGTCATTCTCCAGATTTTGGCCTTTTTTGACATTTTTTTCATTCTCCCATTGACTTCCATTCATTATTCAGAGGCTTCTCGCTTCATGGGACGAGCCGAATAGACTCGCACTCATTTTTTTGTCATTCTTTTCATTTTTGCTCAAGAGCAATCAAACTCCATTTTCATCAGGAAATGCACTTTTAGATAGTGAAAAATATGCACAGACATAAGGGATTCGGTAGCCAAACAGGAAGTCAGGCAGTCATTGGTTTCAGTTTCTCATTTTCGATATAAAGATATGCAGCGTGTTTTTATTGTTGAAATTTTCATTCAGATTGTCTGTTTGGAGATGTTAATATGTGATCTTCATGCTCTTAATATGTGGT